CATATTCATCAGCCGAGGAAGACAGGAAGAGAAAGAGCCTATCAGGAAGCTCTACAGCTCGAGAGTATAGTACATCAAGTTAAGATCCTGCCATCAGCTAAAGAGTGTAGTATATCCGGTCAAGAGAGGTCAATTACATCTTTCCTCTCCTTTATAGTCGAGACTCACTTCGCTCTCCTGACCCAACGAACGAAGCGAAGCAAAGTGAAGTCATAGAAGCCAACTAAGCCACTTTCAATAAGTCTGAGGTCACACACGAGGGTGTCTGCAAACGTGGTTTCCTTTCCAGAATATCGTACCCATGCTTAACACCTTATCGAAAAAGGAATACAAGGCTCGATATAATTGACCTTTTTTTTGTCCTGACTTTCATAAAAGAAGGAGAGGAATACCAGTTGGAGATGGGACATAGCTAAGAGGCAGGTCATTGGTTTCTGGTTCTGGGATACGCAGGTTCGACTCCTGTTGGGCAAGGGGCATAGCCAAGAGGTAAGGGTATAGGTTCGTATCCTGCCCCTGCCCTTTAAGCAGGTAGGTGAGTAAGACGTGGGAATCTGTCTGTCAGAGCCCGCGGAGTATTAGCTAGTTGGCGAGGTAAGGGCTCACCAAGCCGATGATGCTTAGCCGATCAATATAGGCGATTGGCCACATTTCCTGATCGTGTGAGTAGATAGATAGGCCACAAGGAAAGGTACGAATATATCCGTTAGATAGGTCCTTTGTTTCAAACAGGGATAAGAGCAGTTTACTCGCGAATAGTTCTTTTTAACAAAATCGTATCTATCTTTTTGGGATAGGGGTTAACCCAGGGAATGGTACGTAAATATGCGTAAGAGATGAAACAACGGATAGCTAGGTTGTTTAGCTGGCTTGTTAGCCAAACCCGGTGTAAAGATGTCTCTATACTATATAGAATGAGCTGTCATCCGAAAGCAAGTATTCGTTGGATTCGTTGGTACTTGTTAGTTCGTTTCTAGTTTGGGTAAGTGTGTAGTGTACCGCACCTTCCTTCATAGCTCGTAGCTCAACGGCCGATCAAACTCCCCAAAGCAAAGGGGTAACAAACAACGGCGTACCGAACAAGAAACGGACGACGCGCATATGGAAATGAAAGGGAAGCTTTATCGCCATTTCAAATGCGTTAGCGCATACGTGAAACACTGAATATTGGCGGAAGTTTAACAAGCAACTCCACAAACAACAGCTCTACGTGCCAACGGCGTGGAATCCAACACAACAATCAAACTCCTGCCTCAACATGGGAGCCGAGCAAGCCGTTCGTCTTGCCTTGGGCATAGAGAAAACAAAAAGATCTGGTGAACCAGGATGCGCGTCTCATTTTTTAAATATCGTATCGTATATTATATAAGGATAAGACTACATCTATATCTTCAAGTGGCTTTCTGTCTCAGAACAGAACCTGGTTTACTGCGTATGTAAGTGTACTCATTCCTGCTCTTCTAGTAAAGAAAGGTGATCCTCCGCCCAATAGAGCTTAGCCATGTGTAGGCCGAAAAGGTGAACTGGAAATAGTTGCTGGTACGCCCATCTTTCTGTAGAAGTAGAATGCCACAAAGAGGTCCACGCTAGTCTGGATATTCTCGGAGCCAAGGAATCTCTTTCTAGTGGAAAACTTTACCCAGAGGGCCTTCTCTGGCTTAGCCACTTACTCACCCGAAACTGCTTAATCAACCTCAACTGGCACTAAAGCGATAGCCCTACTCTTTGACTAAGCTCTTTCACTAGCCAACAGGTCTGCACCTAAGGGCTAAGATAGTAGTTTAGGAAGTGGAAGCTAAGACTAATCAGAGTTGCTCGTGCCCTATCCCCCCATGCCTCTCGAACGGGTATACCACATGCGGCATTCATAGGACAACGAGTAAGAGCAGACGGAAAAGGATTGGAAACGCTATGAAGAGCTCTTAGCGGCTAAGCAAGATAAGCAAGAAAAGGTTCAGAGTGGGACCGTTGAGGGCCCTTTTGTAGCTATGGGTTCAGAGCAGGAAGCAGGGCACCTTTCTTCGGGTTCTGTACAGCCCATTATCCGTTGCTTGTAAAAAGAATCCGCCCGGACTTTTAGTTGGCTCGTCCTTATAGCTTATGAGAAGCGTCATTAAGTGAGAACAAGCTCGAGCTGAAAGGAAGAGTTTTCTCGAGGACTTAGTCAAGCAGTTACGGTAACAGTCCTCTATGTAATATGACATGACAGCTTTCGAAGCAAGCTAGCCAAGCACGTAAGAGACCTTTGATCCTAGGAAGGTAGCGCCGCCAACTAGCATATATATCTATAGGAGAAAAAAAAAAGCAATAGCGCGAGACTTCTATGACTTCACTGCGCTTCGCTTCGTTCGTTGGGGCTAAGTTTCCTTTATTTTCTTGTTGCACTGAACAAACCTCTTCCCGGGGATAAAGAAAGAGGAAATGCTAGAACAGGTGGTAAGAAAAAACCATCGACGCATAAGAAAAGTACAAGAAATAAGCTACTAGACGGGTCACCGCTACCGGAACCCCAACTCTCTCTCAATGCACTCTTGGCAAGGCAAGATAAGCCATCGGTCAACTTACCAATCCCTATCCCTTAAGCCCTCATGCTTGAAGCCTATGGGTCCTTATAAAGGATGCTAGCTCCGGGCAGACGCTCACTTTGCAACTGAACACTCTCTTCTGAATTCTTAAATAAGAATAGCCCTTTCCCTTCAGACATTCTAAGGTAAGGCAATCAAGCTGACAGCGTGATTTCGGCTCTTTTTCCTTTCTGCTCTCCCTTTTCTTTTACCCTTCCGCTTTCTTTTCTATTCTTTTCTTCTTGCGCGAGTTACTCTTAGTTAGTTAAGGCATGGTTCTCAAGAGAGAAATTGGTCAATTATATCGAGCCTTGTTCAATCCGATGATGATTCCGTGAACAAGGAATGCATGGTCCTTATTTGTTACCTCTGATCCAATGGATTCTCAATTTCAAGTCGTCAATCTGAAATATCTTCTTTAAGATAAGGTGTGAGCTAGGGAAGGTGACTTCTGAGCTCTCTCTCATCTTAGCAACCTATGCTCCTCTGAAGCTACTGAACTCCTTCCTCTAGCTTTGAATTACCTCTCCTCTCAGTTGAATTGCAAGTCTAATCCCGACTTACTCTTTCCCCGGGCTGATATTGAATTTCCTTATTGTTTCAATCCGTCTTAGTTCAATTCCCACTCTCCCATTTCCATTCCCAGGCAAGTAAGTAAAGGATAAGGAGTCGGCTACAATCTTACAAGAGTAGAAGGGACGTCAAAATCGAGTACTTTTTTTGCTGGGCTTCTGCCTTCTAACTGCTAAAGCGACGAAGCAGTCCTTGAAGAAAGAGAGAAACCTTCTCCTTCTAAGCTAAAGGCCAGTCTACTTCCTCACCAGGTAAATCTCTTTTTTCTCAGCTTTCTCTTCTTTCTGTAAGTGTGAATACGAATACAGAAAGAAGCGTCAGCAGCTAATGAAGCCAATGCACGGACTGCTAATGCTAATGCTAGATCTACTACAGGCTCCTCTATTTGTAGTGCTGGTGCATAGGTAGGTTGTGGTGAAATGGTGGCCTACTTCTGCTTCATTAGCGGAAGATATTTGGATAGTTCCAACCAACACTTTCATCAACCGAATCCACTGCTAGGAACCGAATAGCCCTCTTTCTCATCCCGTTCCGATCACTAAACTCCGAATCTGAATAGAATTAGGCTCTGCAGCTCGCAACATGGTCAGAATATTTGACGCACGAGCAGCTCCAGGTCCGGAACTATACGACCCAGCAGATGCTGAGTCAGTTGGGTTCAATCGATTCTGTTAGTTTAGAAAAGACAGGGAAACCGTAGCCCTACTCCTTTCCCGAACCAGCAACTCCTTTTTCTGCTGCTTGCCATGCATTCCAAACTTTCTCGCTTTCCTTCTTACAAAGTCAACTTTTAAGGTTCTCTATAGCCATTTTAGTGGCACTTATGGCTTTCTCTTTCAGTCACCTCTCGAAAGGAAAAATCCAGCCGTAGGTCCACTACCGGTACACTCGCTATATTTCTATCCTACCCGGAAACTAGATTCTTCCCTGCCTACTAACTATAGCTCGCGCGGAACACTTGTTATATTCATCCAGATAAGNATGGTTACTCACTGAATGAGCCCTTACTGCTCCCTAGGTTTTTCCTGCGACTAGGGAACGCAGAGTTCTTCTATCGGTCTTCTTCGATTTGGTCGCTACGCTTTTGTTGGTACCTTGGCGTTGGAAAGGGGGCCAAAGAGGAGAAAGCTTGCTGACTCAAGAACTCATTCGTTCTTGAGCTTCGACTTGCTGACTTGGTTCCTTAAAACCTATTTATCCGACTTGGTCTGCTCTCCTTGCCTTTCAGTAGGTCTTTCGCTTTGCTGCTATCCTTCCCTTTGTCCCTATCCGGGGTAGGGTAACTCTTCCGAGAGCCGGCTCAGAAGTGCGGTAACAACATTTTGGTTATCTCTTTACTTTATATAAGGTCAATTACATCGAGCCTTAGTATAGTCCTTTAAAAGTTTATTTATTTATAGGGCCTCTAATCACGGGGCTTTACCAAAGCTTAGGTCGGCTTTGAGGTCCGCTTCCGAGCTTGTTTGAATTGACTTAATCTGAATGAGAGCCCGGAGGATGTGAGTGTTTTGATCCTATATCCGAGTCTCATGCCTTCCTTATCTTATAGGCTTTTCGTTTATTCCCTGAGCCTCAATGTAATCGACCCAACGAACGAAGCGCAGTGAAGGAAAGGATCGATTACATTGAGAGAGTCGTTAGCCGATAGGAGAACTCCACGGGTAGGCCTCTTTCATCCAAAGTAGCACTCGCCGGAAAAGTCTTCTATTAGCGACTAAGAGAAAAAGGGCACACGCCCCCTCAAACTTAAAGGCAAATCGAGTTGGAGCTCCAAGTTCTGGTTCCGATCTCTAATTGAATCTGGTTTCTCTCTTATTTGGTAGACAGACTTCTCCCTCACCAAGTTGACAATGATTCCCTTTAAGTAGGCTCGATGTAATTGACCTCTGCAATCAAACTCAAACCGACCAGGGGAAGGCCTTTCGGCCAAGCCCTCGATCGATGGTCCGGGTGAAATGGTAGACACGCGAGACTCAAAATCTCGTGCTAAAGAGCGTGGAGGATCGACAAAGTTGAGCTCGACCTTAGGGAGAGGAACGAAGTCACTCGACTTCAAGGAGAGGAAGTTTGAAAGTTCATTTTTTATATTCACATGGGACACTCTTTCGAGTCCTATCTCTGATCGGGACTGCTGCAAATGTCGGCATATCAGCATCCGGTTCAGCTAAAGGCGCATGGGCCAGCTAGCATGGAATGTCGGAGAATCGTCGATCCTCTCTTCCCTCTCATGAAGCGACAATCGAATCTTGAGTGAAATAAATACCGCGACAGCTGATGCGGTGCGGGATAGGAAAGAGATAAATGAAAGAAAAAGAAGAGAGAAATGAATTGATAGAGTCAGATGATGTCACTAGCTTCAATGAAAGGACTAACGAGAACTTTGAAAGTACTTCCTATCAGCATTAGTCAGCTTTCCTTCAAGCGAGTGCCGCAGGGAAAGGAAGAGTATTTCATCATGGCCATTTATTAGGACTTATTGGATAAGTTAGGACAGTTTCTCTAAGGCCAGCTGTTGAGTTAGTCGGTTCATAGGTTGTCGTAAAATATGGGCAATTACATCGCGCCTGGACTCTGATTACCGATTATGAAAGCGAGGACTCTTTTTCTCTCTCCCCCATTAACGGAAAACTATCTTAAGATCATCTCCTCCTTCAGCAAGTTCGTTATCTACAAGTAAGTTAGATAATTCCTGTTGTCAAGCTAGTTATTTTATACAAGACTTTTCTATAAGGCCTGCAAGCAGGTTCAGGTGGAAGCAGGAAAGTAACACCACCTGGTTTTAGACCGGGTGTAACTCTTTCTCTTTTGCCCTTTATGACAGCCTGTTCCCTAAGTAGGATAAGTTGTGTTATTACAGGGTAGTATTGCTCTCAAAGCTAGGAAGGAAAGGTAAGGTCAGAGCAAGCTTATTTATAAAGATCCTAGCGAGTGGAATACTTTGAACGAGCAGGGGAGCGAGCGGAGTACTTTACGCAAGTAGTGGTTTACCAGGAACTCGTATAAGAGCTAGTCATATAGTCCTTGAAGCATTATTCCTTTTATCGGTAGGGCTGTTAGCAAGGAGTTTGAAGCTTTAGTACTTTCAGCTGTAGTGGATGTTTTAGCAAGGAATGAAGTTGGTTCAGAGGTGTCAAGTAGAGAGGCTCGATATAATTGACCTTCTCATACTGCGAGTAATATCTCAACTACACTTGAAACTTGATGTTGATCAGTTTGAGCATGTTCAGCAAGTTCACCAGTTAGTTTTCCCGCCTGCTTGCCAACTAAAGCAAGGACAGCTATCATAGATAGAAGCCTACGTAGGGATACTACAGACAAACTGCTATATAGAGTGGAAATAATAGCGAGGGAGGACTATTTAGTGAAAAAGCCTTGACAGCCGACGTAATTTAATGCGCATTGCCCTTATAGAGTGGATTGTGCTATTTCTACTTAGGTAATTGCCTTTCTTTAATAAGAAAATAATACGACTACACAAATAACCATAAATAAGCAAAGAACGGAACTACACACAATAAGTAAGAAGCTAAAGTCTGAAGCTATTTGTTGAAAAGCAAACCCAACTTGATAATTAATTGAATGAGCGAGCCCGCATTGCCTTCCCGACTTAGCCTTCGCCTTTCACTTTTCCTGTAAGGGGGGATGGAATAGTTGGATACCTAACGTCATCTATCTCTCCTCTCTGTTTACTGGGAAGAGCAGAAATAAAGCAAAGAAGCAGTCTTATAGGTCCAGGAACGACATTATTTTGATCTTGTTTGGTGTGTGGGTAAGAAAAGGCAATCTATTGAGCAGCATTCTTCTAGGCGCTGAACCAACTTGAATCTGAAAAGAGGGAATTCCCATCGGTTGTCTTAGGGCAAGCAAAGAAAGAAAGACACTTGGAAATTCCCCGAATAAAGACTTGAATTCGCATTGGAAATGTGAGAGAGACACGCTACTGGCGAAACAAAGAGAGACTCAATCCTTACTCTCAGGCATTCGGAGTCAGAGAAGCAAACCTTTGAAGCTTTGTTTATGCGTTCTAAAAAGAAAAAGGCGTTGAGCAAGTAAATGAAGCCAAACAAGAGGACAGATCCTTAACAGCTAGCAGCACCGGCGAGAGCAGGATTCATTGCTGGCACACCATCCCTCCATTCATGACATACCATAGCACATCCATGAAAAATGGAATCATAATTCCGGAGCATGATAACATGAAAAAGATAACTTTACTATGAACAAAAGAGAAATTTCTCTTTCTCTGTCGCAGTCGCATAATTGGCTCCTACCAAGAACTACTATCGCTCTCTATGCGAGGAACTTATTGGAATGGAATGGTCCGGGCATTGACTCATTGATAGCACAGGGCTGTTATACAGCGCCTGCTTCTTTCACTTCAAAATCTGAACTGAGGCGCTTTTAAGCCCTAAAGAAATTCCCTTTCGCCTGCTGGTTTGACTAGGCCTTTGTGCCAGGTATGAACTCAAAAAGAATTGAATCCGGATCCAACGAACGAAGCGAAGCGAAGTGAAGTCATAGAAGCTGTAAACTCGCTTTGATCCGATACGTCTTTCTTCCAACCTTGATCGCTAGTTAAGTTCCGTGGGACAAAATCCTTCTCTGAGGACTAAGGCTAAACGTTGACACTAAACCTAAAGTAGGCGAAAACATGGTCACTCCCTTAGCGCTTCATGGTTGGGATTGATGTTGACTGGCCTCTCTCGCGTACCAATAGCGAAAAGGTGACTTCCATTAAAAAAGATAAAAGGTTCGATGCAATTGACTCGACTGAAAGCCAATCTACATGATAAATGAACACTACCAAAAAGAGAATAGTTAAGAAGCCAGCCTCACATAACGAAGTGAGCCCACAGAAAAACCTGACAAAGACTCAATTACCTCTTTTGTCTATGACTGAACTTCGCCAAGACTTTTGACTGAACTGAACAAGCAACGGATTGAGCAACTAGCGCGAAAGCCGTTGCGCTAACGCGCATCCGTTTTCTTGCTGCTTCGAAAAGTTTGTTCACTTCGCTCTCCTTTTCTTTGAGAAAATGAGCTTAGTTCCTGCAGCTAAGCCAGCACCCGATCGATTAGGGTAAAGGGCAAGAGGGAAGGTGTATTCAGAGTTCTTGTTCTCTTTTCTTGGCGTTTTCCCCATATTTGCGAGGACATTTGATCTGGTTGAGGTGGGGATAAAGCTTTTCTTCACTTTCATTCTTTGCTATCGTCTCTCCCTGGAGTAAGAACCGAAGTTCTTTAATCGAATTGGCTGCTTATTTCTTTTTCTGGGGTGAAATTACCAGAGTTAGTTGGAGCCGGGAAAGCGGCTATCTAGAAAAGGTGAGCTCTGAAGCATACGATTCCAAGACAGAAAGAACAAGTACTCCAAATCCCCTCATTCCCGAACCTGTGAATGAGAAAGGTCAAGGAGATTCAAATTAGTCAACATATTCTATTGCAGCTTCCTCGATTCTATCTCCTGAAAGAGAAGCCGTATTCTCCCTAACATCAGAAAGCCAGTCTTTTCTTTTGTTATTTCCGGATAAGCTCAGTCTCAGTCTTGCCAACAAAGAGCTTTTCTTACATCAACCGCTGATACTTGAAATCAGATTCATTAGCGGAGGACGAATAGGGGAATGGAGTCAGCTAAAGCTCGAAAAAAAGGTCAATTACATCGAACGAAGCGAAGCGAAGTGAAGTCATAGAGTTTTGGAGAGGTAAGGAAGCCCGTTCTGGAAAAAGACTTTCTTGGTCTCGCTCAAATCCTCAATCGTCACGTAAGCCCAGGGCAAGACAAATAGGTAGAGTCCCTATATCCTTGTGGTTAGTGGAGAACAGCCATCGGCCCAGATTTCTCATAAAATGGAGATTCTTTCCTTCCTTATCAGAGAGGGGCCCCCTTAAGGAAGCGGGGCTTATTTATTGGGAGAGTGAGTAGGGGGTGGGTAAGGTTTAGCGAAGCCCTCACGATATTGATGGGACATTTGTATCCTCTTTTCCTCTCACCCGTTCTGGTTCAAGAAAGGATCTTACTTCGAAGCAATCTCTGGAGTTTTCCCTTATCCGAACGGGTCTTGCAAGAAAAGAAAATTTCATATTGAGCTCCAAATATACGCTATTGGGATGGGATGGCTCCTACTAGCCCCCCCCTAAGAACCGCACGTGCGAGTTCCCCCGCATACGGCTCAAGTGGCGGAGGCCTTTCCTTCGCGCTTGGTAAGCGCTTCGCTGTAGCCAAGCTTCGACCGCGACTGCTCGTCGCTTCTGGCCTATTCCGTCATCCGAGATCCAAGTCAGCACCGGCAAAGATCTCTTGATTCCTCGCGGCCGGGCCGGCTTGGTTTACGATAGCCTCTTGCCTATCTCACCCCCTTTCCTATCTTAATAATAAGGTCTCAATTACACCAAACTTTGACTTCACTTCGCTTCTCAACTTTGTCGACCCAACGAATGAAGCGAAGCGAAATGAAGTTCTAGAAGAAAGAACTTCGCTTCGTTTGTTTGGTCGAGACAATTACATTGAACCTTCCTTTAGCTGGGTGAGCCTTCGCTTTTTGGATCGTCTTCTGCCCAATGCGGTACCCCCGTTTTTTGGTTCCCATTGGGTTTACCTTGTTCACAGGTCGACCCTATGAAAAAGCAGCAATCAAAGGCGATCTTGTGCTATACTCCGGTGATCTCTTTCCTACCGAGGCACGCAAACTCCCATCGTGTCCCAGATCACATTCCGTGAATCGAAAGGGGAAGCCTATCTCAATTACATCGATCCTCTCGTAGATCGGTGCGGTTTTACGAAGCGTCTAAGCACAGTTCACTCACGTTGATCAATCAAGAGCTTTGCCGCCACTCCTTAAGGCTACCTGTTGTATCATACACTTCTTGCATTCTTTCCCACGCTTCATACCTCCTCTTTCTTCCCCACGGTGCGGTAAGGTAAAGGGCCGGGCATGGTGGGGTAGGAGCATCCAGTCGGCAATCTTTTTGGCTTGACCAAGAAGTCTTATGTCCTCCGAGTCGCACGGCGTTTTAACCGAAAGAACTTCTTGCGCAATTCATGCGTTTCTGTTTTTATGACCAGTTTCTTGATTTTCATTTCAAATTGTTCTCTGGACTTTTTATCAATATGAGGTGATCGTAACACAGTATATAAGACTCGTGATTCAGGCAATACAATCTGCCTTGTGTAAGGTGGAAGCCCCAATAAATGGTTTTCCAAAAATGGGCGATCAAAAGATTGAATTACTATGCCTATCTTGGTGGTCGTTACTTTTGGTGATCTTTCTTTTTGGCTGACTCCTCTTTTTGTTCTATTGATCAGAAGCATCCAGCAGCGCCACTAAGGTTTATCATTCGATTCTAAGGGCTAAGGCGTCCCCCAACGAACGAAGCGAAGCGCAGTGAAGTCATAAAGCCCCAACGACACAAAGGATTTTGAGGGCATTTTCGGGGAGTAGCCCGCTTCCCATTAGTCTTAAGTGCAATTCCTCACACATAATTAAGGGAGCCATTGAAAGGTGACTAAAACACCAGAAACGACGACTACCCGAGCTAATGATAGAGGCAAGAACACTTTCCGGCCAAGTCCCATTAATTGATCATAACGATATCGTGGAAATGCTGCACGGACCCATATATATAGGAACAGAAAGAGAATCACCTTGATACTAAACCAGATCGGGCCGGGGATCTTCTTGGAAATGGGAAGATCTAGTACCGGCAGCCAACCTCCTGGAGAGAGCGATGTGCATAGACCAGGTGAGTAAGGATGCAGCTCCGTGGACCGCTCGTCGGGCCTGATAGGTGGTGGTATCACACCCTTCTCAAAGAAACCGTACGTGACACTCTCGCGTCATACGGCTCCGTCCCGGAATCAGGACCTTACCTTTTCTTTGACCAACGGTCCCCAAACTAATTCTTCTTTCATAAAGCAATCCGGAACGAGCGCACCGATGGACCATGATTCATTCTAATCCACTCCTCTTATCTTTAGTTTAGGGGGGCGGCAAGCCATTTGTCCGCCTAAAGGTTTCATCCGGGAGCTCGAGAAATTTCTGCATTTCTACCCCCTACATAATTCCATTCTTCCATCCATGAGATCCCGCTGAAAAGGATGGCGGAGGGAGCTAACAGCAGAAACCTGCTCCTCGATAAAGTTGCTCTGCTGGACTTTGTTCACTGGATCAGGTTGGTTATTAAAACACAGTATAAGACTGAGAAGAGAGAGGTTCGATGAAATTTTAGACCAACCAAACGAAGCGAAGCGAAGTGAAGGAAAGGTGTAACCCACGGAGCGGTTGATTTTGTTTGAGGAAAACAGAATCATTCTCGGTTGTACAATCATTACTAGTAGTTCCATCGAGGTCAGATCTTTCATCAATTGGCTTTCCAGTCTAATCAACTGCCCAATGACTCTTCCTCTAACTTGCAATGAAAGACAGTTTGAAAGTTGCAATGTCCAAACAAGATCAAGCTTTTCCTTTGGCGTATGTTTCATAATACTCTTCCCACAGCTTTACATCTGTTCCAGAGGCATATAACTTCTCAAGCTATGTGCTTCAGGTCTTCCTCTCATGTGGAGTACCGTATTCATGCACTCAGAGACTGTACCCGGGCCAGAAAGACTTGGCTGGAATTGAATCCTAATCTGATGAATGGAAATTTTTTCCAGTTTCATTTGGGCTGAGTCAAAACAGTAATTCAAAGCAGGACCATCTGAATATACCCTGGAGAATGGTCTTTCTATATGCTGCCTGGTACCTATGGTATTGGAGAAACTGTATGCTATTTGATTCGTCTTTCCTTTGGCCTGACAATGCTGCCCAGGTGATACGAGGGAAAGCAAAGGTCAATTACATCGAGCCTTGAGCAACTTTAGTGCCAAACTGAAATTTCAGGCGGATGGGTACCACCTGAAGGCAACACTGTTAAGGTTAATGTGGATGCTAGCATTCAAGGGCAACAAGGTTTAGCAACTGCAGGGGGACTACTAAGAGATAGCCAGGCGAGATGGTTACATGGGTTCACTTGCCTTACTCTATTAATATATATTACAGGCATCACTTCAGTCTTTGACGCTGAACTATGGGGAATCTACAATGGTTTGCTATTAATCAGAAAGCTCCTCTTTTTCTTCACTTCGCTTCGCTTCTAAAGTTGGGTGGAAATGAGAAGGCTGGGAAAGGAATCGACGAATGCCGTGTTGCAAAGAGTTGTTTGGTCCACCCTTAACAAGGGCTTTAAGTAAGTGAGGGTCTTTAGACCGCGTAGCTAAGAAGGGCCCCTAATAACCCTAAGGAGCAGACGAAGGAGATTTTCCACAGGCATTTTTGTCTCTCGGTATTAATTCATTGATTACAGAGACAAAATGACTTGCTGCCTGAAAGTAAGAATTCCTAGTCTCCGTCATCGCTATGAATACCGCTAAAGAGCTAACAAGTCAACGAGGACAGCGAAGAGTACAACTATTATAGGTGACTACATATGCAATTAATCCGCCCTAACTCCCCAACCTATTGGTAAGGATTCGCGAGCATCGTATGTTGACCCAAGTTAGGCCGCCCGCTGAAGGAGTCCGCACGACAAAGGTGCAAAGGTGCTGAGCCGAGTAGTGTGCTTTTACATTGAACTGCTTTCAATATGGACTCCTACTGGAATCGCTTGAAAAGCAGGTTTATTCTCCGTGCGTGTTGCTCAGAAGCGCCCTATATCTTGATAGAGGTCGATGAGCGCATTAGATTCTGCTTGCTGATGGGGGGCAAAGAGCTTATTCAACGCCACTAAGGGGGTATTAAGATCTTTCGTAGTGCGATAGAGTAGTGGTCCGTGGCACCGATAGACGATCAATCCGAAATTACATACATAATTAGAAAACCCCATTTCCGGGGAAAGATAAAAGCTATTCTTGTTAGCAGAAGACCACGGGAGTCTACTCAAAAGGAACTTACTCAATTAGGTGTTCAACGAACATCTACGATCTATGATACCCCGGTCGAACGATTTTATGGCCTCATGAAGATTTCACCTTGCTACCTTAAGAAACCTTAAGAATACAAATCATTCTATAGGAATATTCAATCACACCCCCCTCCTACGCTAATGCTAGCCTCGCAGAGCCATCAAGGGAGGAAGACCGGAGGAGAACAAGGGCCCAACTGAAAGGCGGACTAGCACAACTGGCAGAAAACCTGTGATTTATTGTTGAAAGAAAGTCCATGCATTCCTAACTTGAACCCTTCCCAGGAGTGGAAATTGGTAGCTCGTCTTGCTGGGATTGCATACTCGCTTTGCCTCACTGTCCTTGGCTCGTTCTCCTCTGTACCAACATGCTTTCTCGTTGCAGCATGTGTATGGCACTCTATGGAGGATGGATTGGGCTACCTTCTTGCTGTTCGTGACGATGGGCTTGTTTATCTAACTAGTGAAGACAGCTCTGTTTCGGGTGACCCATGCGCCTCTTCCCTTTTATGCGGGGCTTTCGGCCCTCACCCTTGCTCCTCTACCTCCTCTTGTTGGTACTTGGCTCGGTGGAACTTTTGGCCCGGCCAGGCTGTACGACTCCATTAGAGCCCTTCCATTGAGCTAATCTCATTGTGTTTGTTATAGTGCAGACGGGTCTGGGACCTTGAAAGTCAATCCGGGGGAATCGAATCGGATTAAGTTCCATTAAGAAATACTTAGCCCGAGCTATGAGTCACCCTTTTTTTTAGAAGTCTAGGCCGCAATCAAACTATTCTTTTCAAATCAAATTGGCCTCTCGCTTCACTTCCTGCTTGCCTTGGAACTGATGTAAAGGTGCCAGCCGACCAGAGGAGAGTGAAGGGCAGACATAGATTCAAAATAAGCCTACTTTAATTTCCCATTTCCTATTTCAATACCTGCCACAGACTATTTTATACTGGGGCTATCAACTACTGCAACTTCCACTGGATCTCAAGCCAAGGGAATATAGGTTAAAGAGCGGCCAGAGTGACTAGGAACGTCTCTCTCTGATAGATCAAGTAGCCATCACGAGAGAAGCAGAGGGATCCGAGGCCCCACTATCGAATCAAAGAGACACGAGCTCCTCTATACGAAATGGATTTAGTAGCCGGAATCATTCCTAATCGACCGGGAGCGCTAAGGCTTTGCAGTCCGTACCGGTGTCCTTATCGGGTTCAGGTTATCTGAGGAAAATCCCTTCTCTTCATAGAAAGAAGATAGTGAAGGTGATGAGGTAGACACGCTTGTTCAAGGCTATTGTCTTCTTTGCCTTAATTCTGTTACAGTCCTTCCCTTGGGACTGCTACCTCGGGGACACTAAGACTGCAACTAAAGGCTCGGCCTCGGCTTACCTTTATTCTTATTCTGTAACTTCACTGTCCTACGGGTTAAGACTCTCGTTCGTGACCCTATTAGTGAGCCAACAAAACAAGCAAGGGCCTTAGACGAATTCTTATCGAAGAAAGCTAGGGAGAGCTTCACACCACTCTAATAGTTCGCCTTACTTAATTAACCGCGCTAACCTTGGTGTGGTATTCATAGCGATTTATGGCAACTTATGTTCAGCTACATTCGTCCTGTTCTTAGCTTGAGGAGCAAAGCAAACCTTAAGGAAACAATACAACTACGAACTACGAGGCATGATCAACTATTTAAATGGCTAAGCCCGGTGGTTCAAGGTCGTAATCTACGGGATCCAATGTGATAGAATGCGATTCCGAGCGATAAGATGGGTTGGATATAGAGACGGTTGACGCACACTTGAATCAGGCCTACACTGAATGAGCAAGAAAGGGAGAGCTTTATTCCCACGTACTGATCGTTGTACCCTCGTTTTGACCACCGGTGGGTACGTCCTGCAGGCAGGTGATCGTGGCCAAATGAGAAGTGACAAATAGCAAGCAGAGCGGGGGGGTGTGTGATTGATACATGTGTACGTTTTACAAGAGCTCAGATGACTGACTAGATAATCGCACGCACACATCATAACTAGGAAAGTTCCCCTAAGGATCCAGTCCCACTCTTATAACTCATTCCATTCCCTAGGGCGGGTATTACTACGCCCTTACTTCCATAGGTAACGGTTGAACGCTAAGCTGCTTCTCAACTCACTGACCTTCCCCGCCCCCGTACTTTGAATGATTGATTCAGTGTGAGAATATACTCTCTCTGGTTGAGCAAAAGCCCTTACTTGTGCTTTAGAACAGCGGGGCTCTAGCTCTTTCTATATTATGTTATTTCGATCCGTAAGTAAGAGTCAGAACCTATCCAGCTGAACACGATCTAGGCTACAAGGGCACTTCCACTCAGAAGGTGGGTTAGTGGCATTATAGTTCGAAAGACTTTAGCGAAGCGAGAAAGCGGCAGAACGCAAACTCTCTCCCATCTACGACCATGCTGAGCTACAACTCCGCAAGCCATGGACGATAAGGTGCACAAAAAGCCAATAAGCCATGGACAAGTCAAACCTGATGTACTGTGTTAACGGTAGCATCGATATCTCGGGCCGAGAAGCCCTAAAGTTTGACCCAATTCTATAGCTGTTTATGCGAAAGATCTCAACGTATCAGGGATGGAGGTCAACCTGTTGACCAAAGTACAGCGGAATCCTCTTCTGCTTTTTACCTGAAAAATAGATGCCATGGTTCGTAGGTACCAACAAGTGTACCAAATCCTGACCAAATTTAGAAAACCTGGGAAGTCTGGTCGCATCGAAAAAGTGAGGGTAGGCTAAGTAAATGGCTTACACGCTAGTAGTATAAGCACCATGAATTAGAGGGGGGCCAAAAAGGAAAGGCTGGATACAGGAGATTAGTTGATTAGCTGGTTATCATCTTTCTGACTCCTACTACCAGTGGCGGTTTACTATAGCTCCAATCCCGCCTGGAATGACTTGCTTAGCTAGTTTCCTTGCTCGCTGGGTTATACTGATAACGGTAGGCCTCTGTGTCTAATCATCCCGTATGGGTGAAATGAAAAGTAGCAACGCGGCGAACAATCTGAGTACCGTATTCAGCTACGGAGATGGAAAAAAGGGAGGACTTGAAGAAAGAACGAAATGAATGTGTTAGGCATATAGTTCGTTACATAATTACAGTTGGGGGATGAACGACTTGCAAAAGGAAGGACTTTCTGAAAGCCCTTCCCTTTTTTCTCCCCTATCTCCCATTGCTTGCTTTGGCCTACCTTGCTTGCTCGGCATGAACAACGCTCCTCGCCTGTCGGAACTCATCTATGGGCGAAAGTGCATTATGCCAATTCCACTCGTAGGGATCATGGATAATCTTATTTTGTGAGTTTGCTATAGGCGTCAAACCGACCCATGCAAATTCCACTAACAACTGTCGATTTCAATCGTTAACTTCGAGTCGGCTATACGTGCAAAAGTCTTCATTTTGTCCATTTTTCATGAGATTCTATTAGTGGATTTGGCTTGATAGCCATTTTTACGGGGCAGGAGAATGTTAGAAATCTATGGCATGAAGACCTACATACAGATAGTTAGATACCGAGGGACATTGGACATTATAGATAAGTCAACGGACTAATTATCCTCCGCTCTCACTGAGCCTCTTTGATCCGTGGGGGGATTAGATCCCACCCCAAAAACCACCCTATTTATTAACCAAATATATAAATAAGCTATTTTGAATGACTTCTCTTGGTGGTCCTGTATTCACCAATGATGACGAGATGATCCGAGCTATCCCTGACGTCAAAAATCCCAGCCCAGGGTAGGAGCAACGACGATCTATTAGCTGCGCCCAAAGAAAAATGCATATAGATAAAGACTTGCAACTGGACTGTTTGAATGCTCCTTCTACGCCTTCGGAACCTGCTCCTCAATAATATTTGCCCGACGTCGCAGTAAGACTTAAATATCCTTACTAAATTTCCCGGAACTTCTTCCGTCATTGTTTACATTGTTTACTCCGAAAACTACAACAATTTTAGGTAGTTGATAGACGAGTCTGGGCCTGCACAAGGGAGTGTCCTACGAATAACAGGCGGCAATCGAAGATCGCACAATACCGGTCTCGCATCATAACGGGTATGAGTTCCTTTCTAGAAGAAAAGGAGGTTGGAACTAGATGGTTTCCCCTGGTCGGTAAACGAAACCATTCCTGGTTTGAGAGCACTTCCGTTAGAGAAGAAGAACTACAGCAAAGTTTTTGTACGCAGCAGCCCACATCTCGGCAATGAAGAGAATGGATTCTACTTTCTTGGTGCCTTGCTAGCTTGTATTTGTGAAGGATATGTTAATCTGGGTCAAAGATACTTGTTCTCGATGAGTGAAGATTATGGTATTACGCCTCGAATGGAGCATTACGAGTGCAAGATTAAGTTGTTTAGTAAGCATGGTTGCATGGTTGATTTTGAAGAATTTTTTTCCACCAGCCAAACCTTAAGGGTTGTATTCCCCAGAAACTTCTAGTTATTCTCCTGTATTAAAGGTTCTAGTGACATTGCAGCTATTGCTGGAAGTCCAGTTTCATTTTGGCTGGGAGTCCTGCTATTCTCATTGTAGGCTCCGTTGCTTCTTTCATTCAGCCCAGCACGCCATATAATCCCTTTTCCATGCCCGTGCTTTGACCTCTTTCTACGCCTAAGTTACTGTCGATCCAAAGAAGCCATTTAGATCCTTTTTAAGGAAGGAAGTGAATTTAAGCAAGAGAGCGATAGGATAGATAGTTAGCTTAGACCAATAGGCATCTTAGGGTCGACGAAGTTGAGGAATAAAAGTATATTAGTATACTACCTCTTGGAGTTTCAGTTGCTATCCATTCATATTGAGTGCCTCCTATTCAGTTCTAGAACTAGCGGTTACAGCGAATGAGCAATCTTGTGTATATCCAAGGTAAAGGGCAAGAGACTCTGTCAATTCATCCAATGAGTAAGCAGGACAGTGTTGTTAGAAATCCTTTAAGTCCCTCTTGAATTTAAGTAAACTCCGTCCCTCAAAAGTAAACAAGTTTTCAAGGGTAGGGGTAGCGTTTACTAGCCAGCAAGTAAGATAACAAAGCTCTTTTTTTCAAGCCTGGAGCTTTAGAAAAAATTCCATGGAAGAGCTAACATAGATAGATAACCCACACTTGTACTCTCACATCGTGGCGTGGTAGGTCAATTATATCGAGCCTTTTGAAGGTCTGTTACAGCTAGGCGAGAAACCTTTAAGTAAGATTCAATATCTCTAAAATCCAGGCTTGCCTACAGGTTTGTTCACACCCTAATATGATCTTTCCTTGCCAGTGCAATGATAGGATATTTCCAGCTTCCGTGGCTAGCACCAGTACTTTACCTAAACGCCCTCGTATGAAGCTCTAATACCACCTCTATGGAGGAGAGGATTTAATTAGAATATGCTTTCGTCCGGGGAACAGACAAGTGAGCTCTTCTGGGAAGTGAGTTTTAAAGCTTTTATTTGACTTTAGAGCAGTACTAAGCTAAACAGCGCATTCTGTTCCAGTTGCAGGCCATTGGCCAGTTGTAGTTCCATTCCGAATTCCTTCCATGCGTCCTGCCATTCCTTCTTCTTGCGATCCTGTTCCAGCGGAAGAAGTTTTTTCTAGCTCTTTATTTAGTCAATTATATCGAGCCAACGAACGAAGCGAAGCGAAGTGAAGTCAAAGTTATTTTTAATCTCTCTTTATTCATCAATCGATGCCTACCCGGTTTCATACTTCTGTCAAGTCAGGAGTGAACGAAGGAAAGGACTTCCCGTAGGCGCAAGGGTTCTTTCTTATTGATTCATGCGCATCTACTTCTTCTTTGCCTTAGGTCAATCAGGTTAATCCCTCTCGCCAAGACTTGTTCTTCCGCTTCTTCCGTATCTGTTTATGCTTGCCTTCCTTATCCATTTTTCCAACCAAAAGTATAGTGAACTGCCTGGAAGGTTTATAGCCCGTACTCCCCTTATACATCTCGCAGAAAGTAATATTCGCTATAGCCCTATCTCTTCTTTTATCTGAAGGCATACATTACAAAAGAGGATATGAATCCCTATCTTTTTAGCATCACTATAAAGGAGGTACATGCACCAGCAGTCAAAACTAACTTATAAACGCACAAAAGATTAAAACGATATCAGCATGATGTAACAATAAGCATCGTAGCAAGTATGATTGCAGAACTAGAAAAAAGGAACGGCAACATTATAGCTCCTAACGATATGAAACAATCGAGAACGAGTTCGATCCCTGGAAGAAAGAATAGGAATTCGATCTAACAGCCCTTGCCTTAGGGGGTTTGGATGATTCCGATTCACAGGAGGAGTTGAGCAATAGTGCAACAGAAAAGCAAGACGAACCTGAAGAAGCATTAATCTCCATGTTTGCTATCTCCTCTAACCCTAATCTCTTTTGTTTGCTACTATGATCAATTTGGCATTTCGATCATCTTTTGTTTTGAAGTTACTTATAACAACCAATTGAGCATATATCTGTACATGCTGGTACGCGTGATTTAGTACTAGAGACACATTATTACCTAATGCTGCTGATAATGTACTGTCTTTTATAGTTACAAACTACCTATCTTTCCTTCTTTTTGAAGCTATTTACTAGTTATCTGTCCGAGAAAGAAACTATCACACAATTAAAGCCCGCAATGCACAGAACATAAGGCACATACATACCACTTTAGCACACACTTTACAGAACATGAGTGCAACATACCATACCAATTCTAGAAAAACACATAAACAGAATCCAAACAAAGTCACTTAAGAATAGGCAAGGGACACACCCCGTCCACGCCACCCACTTGAAGAGCAGAAAAGAGTATAGTTAGTGTAAGGAAAGTCTTATAGGAAAGACCCTATAAGTTCAGACAATATGCTACATTCTATGATATCCTATTCAATCCCCAGATTAGCATGTGATGCTCGTCGTGCTAATAAATCCTCTCTTCTTAAAGCCCAAGTAGGACAAAGAAATGCAAGCCCTCGATTCATTCCTTTTATGCGAGTGGGAAAGCTAGCTAGAAATCAATGACAAGGAGTAGAGCCTAGAGCAAAAGGGCCCGGCGTCAGGTTAGTTAAAGCAAGAAAGTCAATGCTGGTGCTCGCTTATTCAATCCTTTTTTATCTCCTCCTTTGTGCTAATCACTAGTGCTAAGAACTAGGTCAAAAGGAAAGTCAGCCCTTAATACGGAGTTTTCTACTTGTTCTTACTTGTGTTAGTGAAGCCTGATAGTTCAACTTGCCTGTCCAAAGTCAATCTATGAAAAGTCTTCCTTATAGGCGCACCCAGCTGTAAGAGAGTAGAAGCAATCGGAGTAAATAAATCCCATAGTGAAATGAGCGTTAGATGTTGACTAGACAAAACTAGCTAATACATGTAGTAGGGTAACAACTTTTCCTTTTTTCTCGGTTATGTGAAAAGGTAGAAAACTCGCTACACTTTATAGGAAATGAACTACTC